AAAAAAAAAAAAAAAAAAAAAAAAAAACTTTGGGCAAGTACTTAAGAGAGGAGTACCTTCTCCTCAATTTTAGTCAGGTGCTCATACTTCAAAAAGAAGTTCATTGGATATTTGGATAACTTTAGTTGATAGCTCTGTTTTCTTACAGATGTCCTAGAAAACAGAGCAAAGCTAGTATACTAAGGTGATGCAATCCAGGATGGCAAGCGTGAGAGTGAAAGAGAACTGAAGCTAGAAAGAAGGACAAGCAAATAAAGGAGGGCTGGTGTGTTACCAAGCTGCCCTCAACTTCACAAAAAAGCACAGGTGGTTTCTTGGTCATCTGCAACATGTTCCAGACAGGTCATGTGGTATCAGCATGCCTCAGTACCACCCATGTGGATCGGGGAGGGAAGGGGGAAGGGAGAGGCATTTAAATGTCAGCAATGTTTTGGATCTAGGATCTAGTTCTCATTGATCAACATTCATTCTATGGAGTATTAACTCCTCTGTACTTCCAAGTTGTGTTATTCAGCTTCCACTAAGTCCAGAAGTTGGAGAAGGATCTATAGCCTTTGTGACTATTGCTGCTGCTGTGGTTGCAAAGAAAGAGAGAGAGAGAGAGAGGAAGAGAGAGAGAGAGAGAGAGAGACTCCAGTAGGAGCTCAGGCCTGCAAACTTCCCAGCTTTGCATCTTTGTTGTTGCAGTCAGGGATGGTACATACTAAAACTTATTATTAGGTGACAGTCTGACGACTCTGCACTGGGAAACTGAGTTTCATCTCCTTTTTATCTCATCTTCCCTGCAGGACTCACAAACTGTATTGCCCAGACCTTGAAGCTGCTGTGGCTCTTGCAAGAGTAAAGAAGGACAATGTGGTCAGCTAGAGTAGTCACGAAAGTCTGGAGCAGATGATCCAGGGGCCAATGGACCAGCTAGACACCAGCCAGGCCAAGGCACAGTAGTAGTAGCTGCTGGGCATCAAGGAAAGATCGTGGATAGGCTGCTGGAGGAGCAGGATGGATCAGAGTGGCTGCTGAGAAAGATTCTTGACATAAGGAAGCTGGGACTCAAAGACATACTGGCAATAAAGAAAAGGTATAATGTGGAAGAATCCAAGTTGTAGCAACCTGAAGCCTGAAGGCACATAAATTGGGGATGTCATGCACTCTTTTAGAGATGTTTAACAGGAATTATGAATTATTTGTCTAAGATGATGTCTTAGTGTGTCTGGGCTGCTTATAACAAAATTCCTTAGACTGGGCAATTGATAAACAATAGAAATTTATTGTTCATAGTTCTGGAGGCTAGAAAGTATGAGATCAAGACACCAGCTTGTTTGATGTCTGGGGAGGTCCTGTTCCTCATGGACAGTACCCTCTAGTATCCACACATGATGGAAGGAGAGAATATGCTCCCTCAGGCCTCTTTCATAACAACATTAATCCTATTCATGAGGGCTCTATTCTCATGGCCTAATCA